TCTAAAGGGTACAGGTACAATAAAAAGAGGATTGGACCCAAAACTGAACCTTGGGGTACCCCACAAGACAGCGGTGCAACATCAGAGTAAACCTGATTCATAAAAACAGTAAAAGACCGTTCAGATAAATAAGAGGTGAACCAGTTTAACACAGAGCCAGAAATACCAAAATTATCTCTGTCTGTAGATAAGAATAGAGTGATCCACAGTGTCAAACGCTGAAGTTAAGTCCAATAAAACCAGCAGTGTAGTTTCCAGATTCAGCTGCCATCAATAAGTCACTTGAAACCTTTACTAAAGCTGTTTTTGTAGAGTGCAATTTGTGAAATCCAGACTGAAAAACTCTACCCATAAAACACTTGCACTTCAACTCGCCTAGGGCACCAAAATGGCTAGAGCCAGCACTGGTTGTATTACAAAATAGATTTATGTTGAACATTTAGGAAATGTTTATTACTCTTTCAAAAACATTTATTACACAACAGAGAACAGTTGAATAAAGTTTGAAACATTTCAGAGCACGAGCGGGGCCGCGGCTCCCATCGGGTCACCATTTCTCATCAGTAAGCCGCCGGAGGTCTTCTCCAGCGGTTCTCTGATTCTCTTTCCTAAACAACAGAAGGGGGATGGGAGGGCGGAGGAGGCTAACCTCCAGTTCAGGAATCATTTGCCTGGAAAATATGAAAATAAATAAATAATAACCACCTCAGATTTTGATGAAACTTTCAGGGACATTGTGTGGCTAAAAAGTGTGCTGATGAAAACACGGCAGTGCTTTAAATTTAAATACGACAACAGATCCACTGAATTTATCTTGCAGATGCGGCTTCGTACCATGCGTCCAGCCTGTCACCAGATCTAAGCAATCTGCGCACACAGATTGCAGAAACTGAGCGCGCACAGATTACTAAACTGAGCACACAGATTTCCGGTGGGGTTTTTTTTCTCCCACTGACCCCTGGCGGGCGCCATACAATTCAGTAGAAAACAGAACTGAATATTAGTTTCTTAGTTTCTTCATCACCAGTGACTTTTTTACAATAAAGAAGAAAAAGAAGAAGGGAAAGGAGAAATGTAATGTGAAAGATTGAGAGATTCGAAGATATGTGAAGTACACACCAAGAAAACACAAGACAACACACCCGACATCTGTCTGCACCTGCAAAAACGGGGAAAACAAAAACACAGCAACGAAATGCATATGTATATACTACTACTACTACTACTACTACTACTACTACTACTACTACTACTACTACTAATAATAAT